TTATGGGTAAGGGTATAATCACGGTTGAGGTCAGGCCATGGTAAGGCCATAGCTAGAGATCAGTTTGCAGCTGAAGAATAAAATGGATGTCCATGTTCTTCAAGAGACTGATTACAGGAAGTGGCAGCTTTAGCTGTGTCTTTTCAATGACATGCATGAATTTACACTCTTTCAGGCTTGGTGCTCAGCTCCCCACTGCTATTCCACAGTAGAGAGATTCTGCAAAAGAGTTCCTTTGGAATTGAATTTTCTTTGACGATCTCATTGGAAACAACCTCTAGGACCCAGAGATCAAACCCAGAGAAAACTTTGTCCATAGCAATGTCAAAGCTCTCTAACTCTTCCTGGTAGCATTTTCTGCCCTGTGCATGTGAGCCCCAGGATGGCAGAAACTTGGCTTTGTTCAACATTATATCTCTAGCTCCCGGACAATTCCTGGCATAGCGCTGGTGCCTAGTTAACTTGTTTTGAATGAGTGAATAGAGGTTTCCCAGGACTATGGAAACCTGGGAGTTGACCAGCTGGAGCCCACAAATGGGATATATCCATCATCATTGCCTTCTCCATCAACATTGCCTTCCACTCAGCATCCTGACTCTGACAGCACAAACCAATCTGTACCATCTTCACAAGACAGGGATTGGCCCAGAATGCCTCAATTCCTTTACAACTTCTTGTGGGGTTCCTACAAGTCTGTTTTGAGGGGGTTGGGCTAGAGTCCAGGGTTTGCCAGCTTACTGATTAACATCTCAGTTGTGAGACAAACCATTCCTTTTTCTTTACTATCACTCTAAGGGTATCTCATAAGGGAGAAAAAGACGAACACAGGTGCTTATCTATCTTAAACTGGGAGCCATGGTGCTGAAACACAAAGAAGCCAACAGCCACAGGGTCTCCAGGGATCCTAGTCTAGTCATTTGCCTATAGGGTTCCTGGAATTCGCAATGCCATGGGGGTGCCTTGGGGACCAGAGAGAGGCTTGAGAAGGTGACCCAGAGGGTTGGACTTCAGGTTTTGCCCTTATCCAGCCAGAGCTTCTCCACAAATATCTGCTTATTTGTATTGGATTTCTGTGAAGATGTCACTTGAATCAGGAGTTCCCATGCTTTACTCTCTGTACTAGTCCAATGCCATTTGCCTGTATTATAAAGAAGACATCTGAGCCCAGAGACTTGCCAAATATCATACAGTGAGGAACTACAGACCTTGAATGCCAGTGCTTGCTTCCCAGGTTACACACCAAAACTGATGGTGATGTTCCTGCTGTCCCCAGGAAAGTTGCATTTAGAAATCATACTGTGTCTGCCCAGGGCTCTGCTCTACTGGGGAGAGCTCAGGGGATGGTTATTAGAATGGGGGAAAGGAGAAGTTGACATCACATCATAAATGAGGCCACCACTGCTCTTGCCTATTCCTCTTCCAGCATCTGTAACAAACATTTTAAACAAAAGAATAAGCCCAAGTGTAAGTATTCTTCAACTGAGGGCACTGAGTGGTCACATGCATGGCAGTTTGAGAAAGTCTTCCAAAGACTTGACCCAAAGTGCATTTTTAAATTTTTTGTTGTTTTGTTTTAAAGTTTTCTGTTATCAAATACAGGGTCTTGTGCCTGCTAGGCAAGCATTCTACCACTGAGCTACATCCCCAGCCCCCAAAGTTTTTTTACATTTCTTGAAATCCACTTTCTCCAGGATGATGATTGGAGGGAACAGATTGTGGGGGACAGATGGAAATGCACTGGGATGTGCATGACAATCTGAGTTCCTAGACCCTGGGATTCAGTGAGGGAAAGTTCTAGCCATTTTTGGAAGAGCATCTCCCTGTGGTCAATGTCGTTTTGTGTATGAGTCTAGAGCACAAATCTCAGTGAGAATCGTTTCAGGTACAAAAGCCTCTGACTCACATCCATTCATTCATAGCTCAAGTAAATCCCAAGGTCCCAGGGTCCCAGGGTCCCAGTGACCCAGTCTCAGAGCACATCCCTTTCACAGAAACAGCTACTTCATCATATATTCCAGGGTCACCTCTAAAACTAATTACTTTGATCACCACCACAATAAAAGAGAGAAGAAACAGGACAGAGTCCATCCAGCCCCACAAGGCCGAGTGTGCTAGGGACTTAATTCAAAGCACTCATGAGCCATCAATGAAATATTTTTAAAAGAGAAAAATGGTCATATTTAGGAAGACTCACATGACAGACTTGGGAGGAGCTATTACTAGACTATAAATGAAAACTGGAATGAAGAATGTTCAAGCCCTGATCTCAGGTAGAGACTCCAGAGAGAAGGGATGCATTCTCAATGCCAAATAGGCAAACACCATCAATAGAACTTGGAGACTGGCTAGATATAGGGTAGAGGGTAAAGGGCAGAGGAGGAATTTAAGTTTCTACCTGTAACAACCAGATGGGTGGAGGTTCCACTTTCTTCTGGGAATAGGGCAAGTTGAGGACTTGAGTGTCTGAGACAATGAGTTTCATTTAGAACATGTTTAACTTAAGGTGTCCATGAGGCAGTCAAGCAAAGATGTGGGTACCCATGGTGTGCTGAGACCTCCTTTCAGAGACAGCCAACTCCTCTCATTTTTCCTGCCAGCAATACACACTTTGAATTCCTCCCCCCACTCAGGTCTGCACATCTAATGAGCTGTATAAGAAAGCAACAAATGATCTCAAAACTCCTGCCCTTCCTTATTCCTTCTCCAAAAGTTATGGAATCTCCAGAACTGGAAAACTGAGAATCACCAAGGCCTGAAATGGGCAAGGCTGCCCCATCTTCTTCCAGGTACCTATCCTATATCTCCTCCTCACACCACTGGTAAAGACACCTTCAGCCAGCCAGCTTTTGCTGGCTTTTTAGACAGAATCAGGCACAGGTCTCTATGTAACATCAGCCAGGCAGTGTCCTAGCACCCGAGTCCCTGGAAAGTTTAACTATGTCTCCCATTCCCAGTATTCTTTGAAAATTGGCCAAGCCCAGGACCAGATGTACTCCACCAAGTATATCTATCTCACACTCTGAGAGGGCAGCCAGTTAAGGACACTGGGCCTGCCACCCAACACTCCCAAATGAGGCACTCCCTGGCTACCTTTTCAGTGCCCTCTGTCCTACCCTTTCAGAGAGGAAGCTCAAACCTAGAGGTTTGCTTTTGCCAGCAACCTGCTAATCCTTACAAGCCACATTTCTTCATTTAAATTGGCTAACTTCACAGAGAGTCAGGTAGGTAAAATATGGAAGATTTAGGGGGGATCCAGAGCCTTGAAGAGCTGTTTGTAAGCTATGATCATAACAGCCTTGGCTTCCTGGGCTGACAGAGGAAGAGAGAAGCTCATGTATCTTCAACATTTCTCCCACTGCCTACTTTTTCTCCAAAGCAGGTTCTTACCTAGGACACTCAGACATCCTGCTCTGTGCCATCCACAATCAGTGGCAGTAAGCCTATGGCTCTTCGCCTCCTCCCAGACAAAACGAACCAGCCCTTATCTTCCTAGTATGACTCAAGCCATCCTCATCCTGCCCCTAAGTGGTGGCATTATGCTTCCTGAAGTCCCTCCTTCTTCTGCCATACATATGTCCAACATGGTAGCTGCCACAAGACAGCAGCGCCTCTGTCTCTCCCTGCCAGTCCCAGTAGCCTAAAAGAGTCTCTTCGTCCCTTCCCCTCCTCCTGTGTGTGCCCCTACTTCACTACTAACACCATACCCTCGGCCCTCTGTCCTCTGATCAGATCCTGCCCTGCCAAGCCCCACTCAGCTAAGAAATGCAGGCACTGCGCTGGCGTCCTAACAGGTTAACTCCTGTAACCACCGTACCATTAGATAGACACCACTCTTACTCTCAGTTTCACAGATGAGGAACTGAGGCTCAAAGAGCTCCAACAGCCAACAAGGGTGGAGCCTGCATATTTGGAGCCAGACTTCTCTTCTCCCTCCCCCCTTAGCCATCCTGCCAAGTGACCTTTCCCAGCCTCTAGCACTTAAGCCCTCCCTCCCCAGAACGAGGGCGTGTATTTGGAGTTGCAATAGGAAGATTTATTCTAACATCTGAAATGGAGTAAAGCAACAGCGCAGAAGTTGGTATTGTGTCGATCATTGTGCTGTGCGCAGGGTTCTAGGGTTGTAACCACATAGCCTGTTTCCTGCGCCCCGGCATACCCAGCGTCTCTCCATGTCATTGCGCCCTAGGCAGAGGTGATTAAGATGCTGCGTTGGCCAGCGGCCTGAAAGAAGGAGGTGCGGCAAATCCATTCAGGCAGTCTCAGGAGGCGACACACCAAGGCGATGCACCGTCCAGTCCGCAATCCACAGATCCCGTGCGCTTGCTGCTCTCTGGCGGCGGGAACCGGGAGCCCGAGGACCCTGGAATCGCACCTTCTAAGCTCTGAGCGCCCAAGGGCAACCAGCGAGTGACCTGGAGGCTGGGGAGAGGACCGAAGGAAGAGAGACGCCGCTGAGGGCAAAGGGAGACAGGAACGCAAGCTAGAGCGAAGGGGACACCGAGGGCAGAGGGCAATCTTGGGCACTAGTGGCGAGGCGTAAGTAGTCGCGGTGGGGCTGGGGCGCATGCCAGCGTCGCAGTTCCTCTGGACCCCCGCACACCAGCTCGCCCTGGGCGCAGGGCCCCTTCTCTCTCCGAGTGTGGTGCCCCCTCCCTGGGCGCAGACCGCCCACTTCTGCCCGCACGCGCTGCCCCTCCTCCGTCCCGCCCCCCGCGCAGAGTTGGGAGAGCCGCAGTGGCCGCTGCCTGCACCGCCGGGTCCCGGAGCCGCCGCTTTGCCCGCTCGCCTGGCCGAGCCCAGAAAGACGCGCGCCTTGCTGGCCTGGATCTTTGGTCCGATTCCCCAGCTGCCTTGGGGAGCCCTGGCCGCAGCCCGCACCTGACAGCTCCGCTCTCGCGCAGCCGCGCTCCCAGTCACAGAAACTTGGGCAGGACCCTGACAGGACCCGCGCTCGAGGCTGGACCCCGAGCCCTGCGGCTATGCTCTGTGGCCCCCTCCCTGCTAGTCGCTCATCCTGCTCCCCAACCTGGCCCCCGACGGCTGCGCGTTGAGATGACTTTCCGCGACCTCTTGAGTGTCACTTTCGAGGGACCCCGCCCGCACAGCAGCGCCGGGGGCTCCAGCGCCGGCAGCAGTGGGAGCGGCGCGGGTGGCGCGGTTGCTTCGGAGGGCCCGGCGGTGGGCGCCGTGCCAGGGGCCACGGGAGGCGGCAGCGGCGTGGTGGGTGCGGGCAGCGGTGAGGACAACCGGAGCTCCGCGGGGGAGCCGGGGGGTGCAGGCGCGGGTAGCGAAGTGAACGGCACGGCGGCCGTCGGGGGACTAGTGGTGAGTGCGCAGGGTGTGGGTGTGGGCGTGTTTCTGGCAGCTTTCATCCTCACCGCCGTGGCGGGCAACCTGCTTGTCATCCTCTCGGTAGCCTGCAATCGCCACCTGCAGACGGTCACCAACTATTTCATCGTGAACCTGGCCGTGGCCGACTTGCTGCTGAGCGCCACTGTGCTGCCCTTCTCGGCCACCATGGAGGTTCTGGGCTTCTGGGCCTTTGGCCGGGCCTTCTGTGATGTGTGGGCCGCGGTGGATGTGCTATGCTGCACGGCCTCCATCCTTAGCCTCTGTACCATCTCCGTGGACCGGTACGTGGGCGTGCGCCACTCGCTAAAGTACCCCTCTATCATGACAGAGCGCAAGGCGGCCGCCATTCTAGCTCTACTCTGGGCAGTAGCCCTGGTCGTGTCGGTGGGGCCACTGCTGGGTTGGAAGGAGCCTGTGCCCCCGGACGAGCGCTTCTGTGGCATCACCGAGGAGGCAGGCTACGCCGTCTTCTCTTCGGTGTGCTCCTTCTACCTGCCCATGGCGGTCATCGTGGTTATGTACTGTCGCGTGTACGTGGTCGCGCGCAGCACCACCCGCAGCCTCGAAGCGGGCGTCAAGCGCGAGCGGGGCAAGGCCTCGGAGGTGGTCTTGCGCATCCACTGTCGCGGTGCGGCCACAGACGCCGACGGAGCGCTAGGGACCCGGAGCGCTAAGGGCCACACTTTCCGCAGCTCGCTCTCTGTCCGCTTGCTCAAGTTCTCCCGCGAGAAGAAGGCGGCCAAGACGCTGGCCATCGTCGTGGGAGTCTTCGTGCTCTGCTGGTTCCCTTTCTTCTTCGTCCTGCCGCTAGGTGAGTGACCTCCTCTTTCCTTCCACCCCAGGTAGGGAAGCTTGTGGCTATGCCTTCCTGGCAGACTTGGATGAACGCAGAAGGTTGATTTAGCAACTTTCCTGCTCTCTTACATTATAGAGGGAAAACCAGAGGCTCTTGGTACTTGGAGGTTTCATTTTACAGTGTTCCAGCTTTTCTTTCTTCCTCTCTTCGTTGCTATTCCAAACCCTGGCCTTGTTTTACGTTCCCAAGCCCTTAGAATATAAATTACGTGGGAATTTGTGCAGACATACGCGTTAGTATGTGGTCAGTAGTGTATGCGACCCCTACATATACCACTCCCCAAAAGTAGATACACAGAGTGCATGGGCCCACATGTACTCATTCATTCGTGGGCAGCAGGCCCTGGACAGTCAGTGCCACCTCAGCAGACACCAAAGGCCCCTGCTTTCTCCGGCATTTGTTCAGCTGGCCTGGCTGGTATCTGTGAAAGTCCACAGAGTTTCACTTCTGAAATCTCTTCTCCAAGGGGTTGGAGGAGGGAACCATGTGGGGGTGAGAGGGAAGGGATGAAGCAAATTATCAAATGAGCAGTTAATATTGTTGATCATCTGATCATCATTTACACTCACTGTGCCCCCTAGCTCTTTTGCAGAACTTTTCTATTTCAGTCACAAGCTGCCCTGCAGTCCTGGGAGGTGAGCAGCTGCTCTCAGGTGCTTCCTCCCACCCCTTGAAGTCCTGAAGTGGACCTGGGAGGAGGGGCTGGGCCAATACAAAGAGGAGAAGAGGACAGTGTCTCAGGGGACATTTGCCCTGAGTCCCTTTGCCCAAACTGCAACCTCAGCCAGCCCAAGTAGGGCCTCCCCTGCCTTTTTCCTGACCTAGCTCCTTGCACCTTGTAAGGCTGAGCAGAGAATAGACAATGCCTTCCTTCTGCTCCCCATCCACACAGTAGCCATTGTGTGACCTTTATACATTATAAATTAGAAGTGTCCCTCTCCTAGTGAGTCTCTCAATGCTTTCTCCCTGCCCTGGGAACAAAATCCAAATTCTCTGCAGTGGCCTAGAGAGGGTGGTTTTCAAATTTGTTATTGTCTGAACCAACATGGGTCACTATGAGTATTTACACTAGGACCACAGGCATGAAGCGTGGCAATCCCAGACACTGTTGAAGGGGCCACTCAAGTAAGGGTCCACTTCCCTCTGCCCTGCCCCTGCTTGCTGTGTGTTCCTGTCCTTCTGACCCTCTCCCAATTCTTTGCCAAGCTTATACCCATCTCTGGGTTTTTGTACTTGGTCTTCACTCTGTCTTGACTGCCCCTCACCACTCTTGGCTAATTCTCCATCATTTAATTCTCTGCTAAACATCCCTTCTTCTTGGAACTGAGTTGTTGTGTTCTCCATATTTTCTCTCTCAAAGCTTTACTAGATCACCAGTTGTAATTACATTTGTGTGTATCACTTGGTTTGGTGTTTGACTCCCCACTGGCCCTGAAGCTCTATGAGCAGGGGCTCCTTAACTGTGTCATCATTGAATGCACAGCACTTAGCACCATGCCTGACATTTCAAAAACCAGTAGAATGAGAGCACAGGGGCTCTGGTGCCAGACGGTCTGGGTTCGAAACCCAGCTCTGCCTGCCTTTAACTATCTGTGTAACTTTACGCAAATCCCTTTAACCACTCTGTGCCTCTGTTTCCTTGTCTATAAATGGGGGGGTGGGTAATAATGCTAACCCAGAGGGATGTTGTGAAATCCAGAGTTACCATACACGAATATAATTGAAGCACATGTAAATTCCTTACTTGAAGATCATCCAGCCAGAGGCTGCTGTGGGGATGGGGCAAGGAATGTTCTGAAAGCAACACACTTGGAGAGGGGACAAATGAGCAGTCAGGAGAAAGCTGGCCCCTGTTAAATACCTTCCCTCCACCCAGGGTTTAGATTTCCCAAACTCCTTCCTCATACCCCTGCTGTGGTCTTGCCAGGCTGAGCTCTGTTCATGAACACCCCACTTCTCTTCTCCTGTGGAGAATAAGGGGTTCACCTGTGTATAGAATGCCACCTCCCTGTTTTATTTTTTCTTTTAACTTCTATTAAAATTTTAGTTACAGAATAACGCACAAATGAGGAGGAAAATAATATAACAAGCACCCACGAACCCATAATCTCCCATATTGAACAGATGTTAACATTTTGCCATATTTGCCTTAGATCCCTTCCTCTTGCTCCTTGCAAGGAAACAGAACACAACTGCTACTCAATGCCCTCCTCCCTCCTTCCTCTCTCTCCTCCTGCCTCCTCAGAGGTAAATCTGGCAATATTTGTTTCTCCTCTTACCACACACATCTGTATCCATAACAAAGAATAGCCTTGCTTCGTAGGTCTTCAGAATCTCTATCAGTAGCACCTGCCATGAATACTATTCTTCCATTTGCCTTTTTCACTCAACATTATGTCCTTGCAATTTATCCAGTGCTGGACCATTTAACCACAGCACATTAGAGAGTGTTCCATGGTGCATTGATCCAGTCTCCTGCTGAATGTCAAGTTTTTCTCATTTTTCCCTTTACAGTTAACACTGCAAAAGGCTACTAGTGTGTTTTTGAGGTCCAGATCATATGTCTGCATCTTCCAGAAACTAACCCTAAATTTCCATGACCTTGGCCCCTTGCTGGCATGCACTGCTCTTTCTCAATCCCTGTATCCCTGCTACTTCTCACACATGGCACAGGGACCCTAGTGGTGTTCCACATTTGCTCCAAGCGGGGATTGCAATGATGTAAGCATATGTAAAGTTATCAGGCTGTGTGTTTAAGATGAATGCACCAGAGCTCAGGGACACTGATGGAGCTGAATTGAGTGCAGTTGGCAATCATGAGCAAACAGGACAGAGGCCAAGCAAGGAAATGGAATATTCCAACCCTCCTCATGTGGCTTAGAGGGAAAATAGGAGGACAGAGGCTGCTGTGGGAGCAGGAGTGGCCTGGAGGCTGTAGAGGAGGGAAAGGAGGCAGGCGGTCCTGACACTCCCCTCTGCCTGATGCCTTTGAAGGAACCAGGACATTCTGAGCAGCAGTCTTTTGTGGGGATGTCAGCCTCCAAAGGGCTGACATATCTTGGCATGGAGGTGGAGGATGTGGGGAACTTGGATACAGAGTTGAGGGTGGGGTGCTTATGGGAACATTGGGTGCAGTCTCCCAGAAAGAGAATGGAAAGAGAAGAGAAGACAGGGCTAGGGATGGAGACTTGGGAGCACCTACTTGAAAAGAACCAGAGCCAGTAGAGAAAAGGAAAGGGGAGGAAGAAGGGGATACCGGCACAGGTGGTACCTCCCTCCTCATATGTCCTGGCAGTCACACAAGGAGATGGAGGGGTTGGAAAAGAGCAGTGTGTGTCCACAAACACCATGGGCCATGAAGATGAAGCCACCCAGGAGGGCCACCACCGGGGGCCACCAAGCAGACCATGGTTCCTTCATTCACACCACCATGTGCAAAGCTAAGTGGAAGCAGTAGCTGGAGAGTAGTTCAGGGTAGCAAGAGCCTGAAGGGAGAGAAAGGCCAGAGTACTTTGGCACAATAAGCAATGGGCTGCCACCTAAAATCCTGAAATGCTGGCCAGGCATGGTAGCAATGTGGTGGTCTGTAATCCCAGCATTCTGAAGTCTGAGGCAGGAGGATCTTGAGTTCAAGGCCAATCTAGGCTACATATTAAGACTCTGTCTCAGAAAGAAAAAAAAACCTGAAATGCTCTGGTTCAGGTGAGAGAGGAGAGCCTCTGGGATACAGACATTAGGCACCTAAGATTCTGAGGGGCCCAGAGGGATGGAGTCAACCCTCACGTTTCTGGATGTCCCACTTTTCCTGTAAAGAGCAGCTGCAGGTCATGTGTGACCCCTGAGGCAGGCAGAGGGTCAGTCAACGGGAACCTTGGATGTCACATGCTCAATGTAGCCATGCCAGGCAACAAGGGAGCTGCTGGTGCCAGAGCTTCATGTTGTCCCAGTGAGAGCACCTTTGGAGCTGATACCCAGCTAAGCATCTATTCCATATGTGGCAACTGCAGGGCCCCGTTTGCCCAATATAGTCCTGCTTTGTGCCTGCTGACCAGTGTGACTATGAGTAGTGCTCCCCTTTCAGTCACAAAGCCATTCCAGGTTGGACAGGAGAGAATACAGACACCGATCCGTGGGGCCTGTGGAGGAGGGCTCTTGGCAGCCCTGCCTAAAACAGACACATGCCCCTGGCATCAGCAAGCTAGCACAGTACTGGGTAGCATAGAAAATCACAGGAAACTGTGTAAATGGTCCCTGCTTACAGGCAGCCTGTAACTGAATGTGTAGGGCAGCCCAACCCTGCAGTGTGTATGGGGAGGGATAGCAGTCAGAGTCACTGAATGGGACTCACTGGAGGATCCCCAAGATGGGGCATAGCAAGAGTAGTTCCGCAGTGCTGGAAGAAGTGGGCCAGCTTAAAATGCACCTGATTAACACTTCCGCCCCTGGGACACTTCTTGCATGAGTCCCCTCACCCCCAGAGGTCTGGTGTATACCAGTTGCTTGGTGTAGATATGCAGGTCACTGTTCCTGTACACCACAAAGGGGACAGGAGGGACAGAGAACCCCTTCTCCTGGTGACCATCCATTTGTGGAGAGTGTCCGTTCTTTCCAAAAGCTCCCGGGGCCCGCACTCTCCTTTGTGTCTCCATGACAACGATGTCTCTGAATGACTTTGACTGGCCTGGCAAGTGCCCCCCCACTCCCAGCCAGGCCCAAGGTAGAGCCATCCACTTAGAGTTACACATATTCACACTCAGCAGCCCCAGCCCCTGTCCTTCCCGATGACCATGGGCAGAACCCCCAGGTTTGCACTGCCAGGCTCTCTTTTGTTGGTTAGGTCACCAAGCATCACTGACCTCTGCAACTTTTTAATTTTATTTTTGACAGTACTGGGGCTCAAACCCAGGACACTGCAAGTGCTCTACTACTGAGCTATATCCCCAAGTTTCCATCAG